AAAATAAATAAATAAGGACCTTTGCATCTCACTTTTCTTTCATATTTATTTTCTTTGCTCACGAAAATAATTGACTATGTCATAGGATTTTTTTCATCAAGGGAAATTTGCAGGAAGCCTACTGGTCAAAATACTGCTGGCTCATTCTCAATAAATTTTATAAGTCACGCAATTAATGCCGGCAACACTCGATCGAGAGAGATGTAGATTTATATGTAGTAACAGAATGCTTCAAAAAAATGCAGATACTTTACAATCGAAGCAAGCAAATAATCATAGAGATCTGCAGATTATTCTGAAATTGTTATCTTGCAGACAGCACGAATAACGCGCTTGAATAATTCCTACGGAAGTGTTGGCGTCACGCAACAGATGTTAGTTTTGCGGAGTTCTGCATGGAAATGTTCGATGGCGGTAAGTGACAACTACAACGCTATTTTAATTTTCTTTTCAGGATAGTAGCACAGTCTTTAGTTTGATAGAGCCATTGATATTTGCTATCAAACGAGAGCGCAGAATTTCTCGTCTGTAGAAGCCGAATTTGTAGCACACTGGAACTTGTAATAATGTCAACCAACACGCAGCACGTGACTTTAAAATCTCCTAAAATGTGCAATGAATATGATAAAAAATCAAATCACGGGAACTTGTACGTTAACAAGCACGCGACGTTTGACTTTAAAATCTCCTCTCCTGTTAGTTTCCCTATTATGAACTGTGCGATACTGATAATAAACAATCAAATTTATAGACTAATGAATGTTTTGTGCTGCACAAAAGCCATATTTGCTGATTTTAGCAAATCTCCAGCGTAATAAACGACACTGATTAGAAAGAAAAGCTACGATTTTCCCATCGATTTTTCACTCACATGCGTCTCTCTAAACGTGAAAATTTCCATTCCTACGAAAAATCTCGAAAGTTTCTCACATTTTTTAGCTTTCTTGATCAATCATCTTGTATGAAGAGCTAAAATGTAGGTTTATTTGGCCAAGTGATCAGCTAGAGCCAGAATTGCGTGACAGGTGTAGTTGTGAGAAACTTGTCACAGTCGCAGATTTTAAAAGGCATTCAAGACAAAAATGCGGTAGTGCTAAAAGATCTTTTTGATGGTTTTCAGAGATGAAATGATGGATTATAAAGGAAAATTAAGATTAGTGTTGTAGCCTTCTGGCAAGGGGAGATATATGACCTCAAAGTTGTCAAATATTTGGATGAATTGAAAAGTCTAAAAACACAGTCGTTTATTTGCCTCTGTTGATTGACAAGCCGTCAATCAAATTGACTGATACTCGTGCCAGACATTAACTAAGGATGTAACAAAATTTGCGCAAACCCTCAGAGTAATTGGTTAAATACCATTGCAGTGAGAGCTTTATACATTTTACCTATTTTGAGACGATTTCCTCAGTGAAAACCGAGAAAAACCGGGGGGTGGTCTATCTCCCCCCGGAAAAAAACCAAACAGAAACCACTTTTTGTTTTTGAGTTTTGGGGTAGACCCTTTAAACCGGCAAAGTTTCATTGAAATCGGTGAGATGGCATGTAGCACGACTGCCTGGTGCTCTCGCGGACACTCTATTAAGGTGACCAGGGGTTCTCCGATATCTGAGTATGTTGTTTTTCTTTGAAACCCTTTTATCCAAAGATGGATTTGTATTTGGTCGAGCTCCGTTAACTTAAAAAAAACCACGCTTTGTTGCGAAGATAGAAGAAAAAGCGGCTAGTCACAAGAAGCGGATTTAACTAAGGTTATATTTCTGTTTGGAACTTTACAGTTCACTTCCGATGAAAGATGATGAGGTGAAAATTTCTGTACAGATGTGAACGTTACCCTGTGAACATTACACTCTTACGCTCTTTTTGGATTTTCATTGGTTTGAGCATACTTCAATTCCGTCAGTTAAGTGTGCGGAACAAAAAAGGTCCTAAAAACGTCCAGGAGAGTTCTCAGACTCAAAACTGTCACCGTTTCGTCCAAATTCAAGCGGCCTGTGCAAGGAATTAAGTATTCCGGAGACTCAGTGTGGTAGAAAAACCACGAAAAAAGGACATCTTATTCCAAGAAGTACAATTTGAGCAAAAGACGAAGTATTTATTCAGGTTACTACAAATTATACTTACACGGAGTCATTGATCTAACTACTGCTTACTGCAATGATTAGTTACGACAAAGAGACTAATTTTGATTTTATATAGTGAGCAGACCACACCTTTGTATAGAGTTGTAGAAAGTTACTTCTGACTTATTTTGTTGGTTTGGAAACTTATCTACAATTAAAAACAGCCTCGAATAAAACTTTTAAGTATGTGTCACATTTGGCAACTTGGGTTCTTTTAGTGTCGGCAAAGAAAACCATCAAAAGGTGTCAAAAAACCAATAAAACCTTTGACCAATCACAAGAGTGAGCAGTCTTCTTTAACTAACGAGTTAAATTGAAGTAGTTATGTATA